CCCCCCCCCCCCCCCTCTCCTATGTGATCCCGGTTGGGTCGTCTAGCTGGTAGAAGTGGATTGGGGCCAGATGGGCAGACGAAAGAGTCCAATGATGAGAGACAATAAGGAAGAAATGTACACAGGTGCTGATGCTCACGATATGTGTATGTGTTTTCTGTTTTTTTATGTTCAACCGGTATGACTTGAATGTTTGCCGCGGTTGGCAAAGAACGATGATGGTCGCATGTGCATGCTGCATACGTTTTTGTGTGTGTGTATTTTTTTTTGTTGAAATCACAAACCATTGTGAACTTTTGCCGCGGTTGGCAACTACTGATGACATCTGCACATGTACATAGGTGCTGATGCTCACATTTGTGTTTGTGTTGGTGTTTTTTCTCTTTTTCCAACCCATAACCGTTGTGAATGACTGTCTGCCGCGGGTGGTAAAATGGAGCAAGAAAAAGTGGGCGTCGCGTTGTAGGTAAAACAATCGGATGAACTCTTGAACAATCCAACATTGATGATGGCATACGCACATGTACGCAGGTGCTGATGCTCAGCCAGGGGGCCTCCAAGGTGAACGTCGGGCTCGTGGTGAAGGAGGAAGAGCTGGACCTGGCCGTGCAGGCCCTCCACCGCCATTTCTTCGAGAAGAACAACTAAAGAAGTCCAGAGCATCCTCTCCCCCCCGCCATGTCATGCCATGTGTGAGGGATCAAGGAATGATGACAAGTCTAGACGTCTCTCCCCCGAGACGTACGTATTGTGTGTGAAAGATCAACGAGTTACGAGAAGTCTGGATCAACAAGGAATAATAAGCTTGGATCTGCGCCCCCCCCCCGCCCTGAGTCATGCTGTTCGTGTGCGAGGGATCAAGGAATGATGACGCGTGTGGATCGAGGAATAATAAGCTTGGAACGACCCCCGAGTCGTTTTTTGTGTGAGGGATCAATTTATGATCGCAGGTCTGGAGCTCTCAATTCCCCGAGTCATATGTTATATTTGAGGGATCAGTCAATGATGACAGGTCTGGAGCCCTCTCTTCCCCGAGTCATAGTATGTAAGGGATCAAGGTTAACATCTACTCCACGACCCCCCCTCCCCCCCCTCCCCGTATGCTCACCGGCCCAGCCTGTAATATCTTCTAAGAAGGATTCAGAGACAGCTGATTTTCAGGATTTTTCGTCCCTTTTGCCTTGTTTGGCGTATTGTTTATGGCAGGTGTTGGGGTCGCGTGCAGAGGTAGATCGTCGGGTGGTGATGATGGATATGTCTCTTTGATAAAATCATTTTTCGGATGCTGGGCGATAATTTTGGTTTTTTCGTTTTGTTTCTTTTTTCGCTTCTTTGATCGCGTTGAACCTTTTCGACGAAGAGATGCTACAAGTGCTTTCTGTGTTTTTTTTTGTGCTTCCATTTTTTACTGTCTTTCTTTTTCTGGTTGTTCTTTGTCTCTCTTGTTTCTGTCCCCCCCCGCCGTTCCGTTGGATTGTGCTTGATGACAACATATAAATTCCCCCTTCTTCTTTGTTGCGTAATTTTTCTTCTGTTGACGGGTGATTTTTGTCTGTTGGCGATTTTTTGTTGTCTGTTGCAGGGTATTTATTACTCTGTTGGCGGGTATTTTTTTGTAGAACTCGTCTTTATTTGATTGCTCCTACATATACTTTTGAGAGAAGTTGGCTTGCCCACGTATTCATGTAAGTAGGTGCCCTCTTTTTTTGTGGTCTGCAGGAGAGAAGCAGAGGGGGTGCTCGTTCGGCGGGGAAGGGGG